GAAGGTCCTAGAATACATGAGATATACTCCATCTTGGGTTCCTCCTCGCCAAAGGCTGAGCTTATTTTCTGAATAGTTACTGCAACCATCTCCTCCCTCGCTCCATCTCTAAGTTACTATTAGGAATCCAGTCTCTCAAAAGTTCTTCCTAGATGTTTAGTTTCCTCCTTTCCCTTTAACTATGTACTAGTGAAAGATGAGAAGATAGCACACCACACTCTTCAAAAAAGGAAAAAAAAATATGCATCATCTCTTCAACATCACAACTCAGACACTTAACCACCTCCAAACACTTACTGATCTACCATGTTTATCATATAAATATATGTAATCCATATATAGATACAGCTCATATCGCTCCGATGAGATTTCAGTTTAACCCAAGAGAAAGCACAAATGCCGCAGGAGAATCCTCAAATATTCACCAGCCATCAGAGGGAGCTGGGACACCCTGTCTCGAATCACAGAAACCACAAAGAGAAACTGGCACGATGGCTCTGGTGTCTGAAGCAGGAGAGGGTCAATACAGAGCTCTTTCCTAAGGCTGCCAGAGCCTCGGTGACCCCCGGGGTCTGGTGATCCATGCAGGAGCTCCTGTGTGTCACTGTGCACAATGCCTATGAGAATTAGCATGTATTGACGGCTAGGTGCCAGCTACAGACGCAAGCACTGAACTCATTTAATTCTCATACCAAACAACTGAGGCTCCCCCATCTCACAAATGAGGAAACTGAGGTCCTGAGAGGCTAACCTGCTCAAAGATCCACAGTGAGGAAGTAGCAGAAGCAGGACACAAACTCAACGTGCTGGTGAGAGGCTAAACGGCTAACTTACCACTTCCCAAAACTGCCTCTAGAAATGGCTGCTATCACTTCCCTCACGGTTCACAGGCATCTGACCAGCTCCAAGGAGATGGTTTAGATCTGGATGCTTTTTTTTTTTTTTTTTTTTTTTTGTGGTACGCGGGCCTCTCACTGTTGTGGCCTCTCCCGTTGCAGAGCACAGGCTCTGGACACGCAGGCTCAGCGGCCATGGCTCACGGGCCCAGCTGCTCCGTGGCATGTGGGATCCTCCCGGACCAGGGCACGAACCCATGTCCCCTGCATCGGCAGGCGGACTCTCAACCACTGCGCCACCAGGGAAGCCCGGGTCTGGCTGCTTTTACCTGTACCTGGAAGTGTACTTCTGGGGCTCTCAGGTGGAGGCTGGATTTCTACATAGCTTTTTACTCAAGCCCTCCGGTTGCTCTTTCACAAAGCCAACCTGGGAAGAAGTTCTCTAAAGCACGAAAGATGCAGTTCCTCACATCCTTTTAGAGGGGACATATAAAGTCTCTGGTCCATGGGCTTTATTTTTCCTTCATAATTGGAAGAGGTAGATCTCTTTTCTCTATTAATCTCCTTTCTTCTTTAAGACAAAACGTGTTTGAGCTGAAAAAACAACGGCGAGCAAGGGAAAAAGGAGAAAAAGGAAAAGCAGAGGAAGAATTAATATTATGTTAAAAAGTAACTGTTAGTCCTCGGAAACGCAAACAAAAACGGCAATGAAGACACCACTTCACAGCCACTGGGAAGGCCAAATTCAAGATAGATAACAACAAGTGTTGATGAGGATGTAGAGAAATGTTCCACCTACTACATGTTCCTCCTACACTGCTGGTGGAACTGTGAAATGGTGTGTTTCTTTGGAAATCAATCGTGCAGTTCCTCAAAAGGTTAAGCCATACAGTTGCCGTATGACCCAGACTTTTCAGAAATGTCACGCCTGGCTGTGTACCCAAAAGAAATGTCCACACACAGACTTGTACGTGAATGTTCACAGAAGCATTATGCGTAATAACCAGAAAGTGGAAAGAACCTAAGTGTCCATTAATTGATGAATTTTGAAAATGTGGTATAAACATAGAAGGAAATATTATTGGGTAACAAAAAGGAATGTAGTACTGAGACATGCTACAGCACTGACAGACCTTGAAAACGTTATGCTGGTGAAAGAGGCCAGTCACAGAAGAACACATATTACTTGATTCCATCCATATGAAATGTCCAGAATAGGCAAACAGAGACAGAAAGGAGATTAGTGGTTAACTAGGGCTGGTATATTGGAGAGTAATGAAGAGTAACTATTAATGGCCACAGGGTTTCTTACTGGAATCAGTGGTGAGGGTCCTCAACTCTGCTGGCAGAGGAAAAGCCATTAAACTGTGTACTTTAAACGAGTGAACTGTATGCTATGTGAACTCTCTCTCAATGGGCTCATATTTTTAGAGAGATTTAAAAGAAATGGTTACAAACTAAAGCTACTAGTCTATCCCAGGATAATCTGTGTCTTTGTGAATGAGAAACCATAATTGCAGAAGTGTCAGAAACCCAAAATCGTAAGCGGGAAAGGAAAAATCAGAAAGAAAGGCTCTATGGAAAGGGGAAGGGGAAATGATTTCTATTTAACTGAATTTCAAGATAGTGGGTGTGTTGGGGTCACATCACCGCAAATGCATAGATATTACACAGCGGGGTGCATGACACTAAATTCAGACTTTCTCCTCACCCGAAAGCTATCGGTGCTGAAAATAAAGGATCTAGAGGAGAGGTGAGATTTTTTTAAAATGCAAAGGCTGATGTTCACTTTTTGGAGACTGAAGTAAAAAGTTCACAAGTGTAAGGATCCTCTGTTATATTGCATCCCATGTTCACAGAATAAGAATATTTGATTAGCATCTAAAATGTACACCATTTCCTAAGATAAATTTGAGTCACAATTCTAAATTCAACTAGAAAAAGTAAAGCCTTCACATTCTAGAGCTAAGTGTAACATACTGACAGCCAGACCAGCGCGGGCACTGGTTCACATTCAGGTAGAAAGAGTTAAAAGTTCGCCAAGCCACCCTGTCATGGATCTCCTTATAATGAGACTTTAGCAGAAATCAATGCAATCTATGACTAAAGTGAATCCAGTCTCCTAAAGTGGCAATACACCAAATGATAATATGGAAGCCTCACGGCTGTTAGCAGATACGTTAACACATTTTTGCAAACAGAACAGTTAGTAGAGAATTTCCTTGACATTTTTTTAGCCTAACTTTCAAATTATCACCAAGCCCTTTATTTATTCTCACTACATCTTAATCAAGCATCATTTGTGTGGCAAATCAGCTTATGGCTTCCTTTAAAAACAGGCGAACCATTAACTGACCCAATGTGTTGGCAGTTCTTTTTAGACAGGAATAAATGATGCCTCTTAACTTTGTGCTCCAAGCTGCAGAGTTTGATTTCACGCATATGCAAAGAGAAACATTTAAAGGATCCTGCAAAGTCAGCTAACAATCTTCTGCGAGTTTAAAGAACAACAATAACAAAAACCCTCCTTCACACTGCCCCCACGGAGGTTTATATATTAAATATGCTTTTAAAGATACTTTACATGACTTAAAACGCTCTTTCCATAGTCCTCCAAATCCTTGACTGTCATAAAGTTTAAGTAGTGCTCTTATGACTCAAGGTCAGAGTACAGTCTTTTCACTTACAAAACTGTTGAGCTCGAGAAAGTATACCAAATGTTCCTCAGTGCTCTATCCTAACTTTTCCAAGAAGTTAACTGTCCCTTCCTCCTTTTCATCAATTAGTACACTGCATTATCTTTGGCCCCTGTGTTAGAAGCACTGACCTTTCCCCACTCCACCTGTTTGCATTAGGGTTAACAAGTTCCTTGTCTGAAACAGCTGGTGTTGACTACCAAAGGCAAACCCACTGTACATTTCCCTAATAGGTGACATGAGCTCTGGGAATGAAAACTTGTCCCCAGAGAATGCACCACCCCCCAGGCCAAAGCCTGGTACTCCATTTCAGTAGCATTAACTGTTTATTTTCTTTAAAAGCCAGATTTTGGTAATGTTTTGATTCGGTGACTCCAGTCAGAAAATGCATCTGTCACTTCCACTCCCTCCTTCTCCTTCCGGATGCCACAGCCTCAAACCCAGCAACCCCTCTGGGGAAAGAGGGCAAGGTTCTCCGGACGCACAGAAACAACAAGTAACCCTGGACTCAAGGAGGCAAGGCTGCTAAAACGAGCTGCTTTTGCTGACAAGCCTGGGGAGGACTTTGTTGTTCCTACCACGGAAGCACTGTTATGTCAGGCATACAGGGAAAGAGCGAGTTTTAGGACAGTCATGGACTTCTCATCCCGGCACCCTGCAATCACTACGAAAAGCTTATTCTTTCTACCCTGAAATCCTCTCGCCATAAAGAAAACCTTCATCATATTTAACCTCCCAAGCGGGCAAAGGATAATGCAACACTGTAAAAGCAGGCATATCTTTACGGCCACCATGCTCTTGGTGGCTTTTTGAGGATTGTTACTCTTTACCATCGTGCCCGCCTGTCAGCTCCTCCGGATGACAGCTTGGCAGAGCACAGGATTTTCGGTATTATTTATGACTCGCGTCAACCCAGCGGGCGGCGCGGGGCGGGGTCGAAGGAGCGGTACTCAATCTCCCACGAAGAGCTGAAACCCGACTTGAGCAAGTCGGCAGTGACGAGCGCCAGCACCAGTAACCCTACCCGCCTCCTGATACACAAACGCCGGCCTCAGGAGTATACCTGATGCACACACCCAAGTGAAGAGCTGAGTTATCAGATCTCCCGGTTCCAAACAGGTGCGGGGCCGCTCACTAGCCGAGAACAACATCCGAACCCTACCCCCACACCCCACCTACCAGATCCTCCTCGGAAAAGTTAGCCCCCCTCGGCCAACCTTCGTCCGAGTGGCGCGATGCTAATTGGAATGCATTCTCTGGTGCCCCCAATGCTGTTAGTCCTCTCTTCTTTGTAAACCCCACGAAGTGACGCAGAGCAAAACTTAGTAGGTCCGAGGAACAGAGACGCGTCTTTCGCAAAGCACGGACTTCGCAGGAAGGCGCTAGGAGGCAGGCGCTGGATCCTTCTCGGCGCCTCCATCCTCCTCTGGCTCCCCTCCCCCGCCCCGCGCCCGCCGGGGCCGCTTACCTGCGTGGGACATGGTGATGGTCTCGTTGTTGTTGGAGCCCACGTTGAAGATGACCACGGCGGAGGCGTTCTGCAGGAACGCGTTCCGGATCTTATCCCTGTACGTGCAGTTGCCCTTGGGGATGAGGGCTATCCAGTTCTTGCCGTGCGCCGGGGAGGCGAACTTGGTGTTGGGGTCGCAGGCCAGGCGGTCGTGGGCCGAGCTGGCCATGACCACCTCCCCGCGGGCGTCCTGCTTGGGCGAGTGCTCCCCGTAGCGCCCGCACTCGGTCTTCTCGGTGTGCAGCTCGGCGGTGGTGCCGCCGCCGCCGCCGCCCGCCGCCCCGGCCCCGGGGTCCGGCGCGGGCTCGGCGTAGGTGATGTTCACGAAAGCGGTGTACCATTCTTCCTTCTCGGCCACGGTGAAGTCCAGGCAGAGCAGATGCACGAAACAAAAGGAAAGCAGCCATGTTGAGAGAGCCAGGCTGCGGCACGCTTGGATGAGAGACATTGCCATCTTTATCCGCCGGGGCCCCCTCCCCGCCCCCGGCGCGCTCCCCCCGCGCCGTCCCTCCTCCCCAGCCCCGGCCAACGCCGGGCCGGCCGCTTGTCCTTCTCCTCCTCCTGCTCCTGCTCACTCCCGGGCCCGAGGGGCCGCGGCCGGGACGCGCAGCCGCCGCGGGGACCGGCTTCCGAGCGAGCGGGTGGCGCCGGCCCCTTCCCTTTTCAGCCGAAGCACGGCGGTTGCATCTCGCTTCGCGGGCGCCGGCGGGTCGCGGGCGGAGGGGGCGCTCCGGGCTTGTGGCGGAGTCCGGCTGCCGAGCGTCCTGCTCCTTCGCTCGGCTTCTCCTTCTCTCATAGGGGTGGCAGGGGGCCCGGGAGCGTGCGGGGTGGCGGCCCGGCGCCCTGCAGCCCCGGCGGGGGCGGGCGCGGCTGCTCCGAGCCCGGGGTGTCGGCGAGGAGTCCCGGCTGCCGTCGCCGAGCGCTGGGGCGTGCGGGTCCGGCTGGAGGCGCGGCGGCCGCCCCTGCTGTGCGCCGGGTCCCTCAGGCTGCGCCCGGCACACACTTGCCACGGGAGGGGCCGGCTCGGGGGTAGCGAGAGCAAGCCGGCAGAGAAGAGTACGCGGTCCGTGTGTGTGTGTGTGTGTCTGTCTGTATATGTTTGTGTGTGTGTCTAATGTGTGCGTGCAAGGAGGAGCTTAATGTGATGTCAAAGATTCTAGGCTTCTCTTGCCACGCTCCCTCGGTCTCTCTATGGGCAGCAGCGACCCCTGCCGGGTCTCAAATTCAACCTAATCTGCGACTTGGTCCAGGTGGAGGCAAAAGGGGAAGCGACCCCTTGACCTATGAAGAGAGGAACAACTTCCTGCGTCTCAAATGTAGAGAAATGTGTGTATCTCTCATAAACAGCTTTCCCTAATTACCCATCCTAGGGCCAACTGGTAAGATTAGTTGGTAGCTGGGTCCTCCGAACACAATGCCTGGAATATCTAGGGCAGTGACTATCAAATTTAAATGTACATCACCGTCACTGTCACGTGTGTGTGTGTGTGTGTGTGTGTGTGTTAAAACTCAGACTGATGGGCCCTGCTGCAGAGTTTCTCATTCCGTACATGTGAGGTGGGTTCCAGAATATGCTTTTCTAACAAGTTCCCAGGTCATGCTGATGCTGCACTGTATTAGAATGAGTATAGAAATGGGCTTCTTTCTTACCCTCTGGCAGCAAACATGTGGCATTTGTTTTCCTCTAGAATGAGTGTTTTCTAACTCTGTAAGAAAAGAAATTGGGTGAGCTATTTCTTCACTGTGTTTATTCTGGTTGTCATGACTGGTAACAGAGGACTTAGAGCAGCAATAGAGCCTCAATAGGCAAGGCAGGTTTTTTGGGTTATTATTGTTTATAGGATATTCTCTAGTTGTGCATAGAGCTTACAACTAGTCAGTGGAGAGTACAGCCCCTCTAGAGTCGTGTTCTTAAAACTTTGACATAGGACACTTCCTTACCAGTTAAATGTTTGAGTGGTTATCTTTTCACACCAGCAGTTGCTCTGGCTTGAGATAGCATGTCTCGAAAGCAATTTGTGCGATGGTTCTTAATCACCCACCTTGTACTTCCCAACTGGCAATCTTTCAGAGAACTCAGGACCCATTCTTGATGAAAACAAAAGTCCACCTTTTCCCCAGGACCTTAGTTAGCATGTTTACAGAAATCTGTTAATGGCTGTCCACCAGTACAACTGCTGTTTTTCCAGAAGCAGTAGGAACAGCTGGTGGCTGTTAGGGGAGAGCAAAGAATCCCAGCTATACCCAAATTAGAAGCAGGCAGAAAAAGAACTACTTAGAAGCATTTGTCTCTATGGTATTGGATGTGCTGGGTTTCTGTATTTCCCTAACTTATTCATTTTAGAAAATAGGCTTCTAGGCAATTGGGACAGTGCTTTTTATAGTGCCTAATGCCAAAAAGGCAAAAGTGAAGAATGCCTGGCTGCTGGTTCCTGAACCACCAGAGATCTGAGTCCTTTGCCTAAAACCCCCCAGCGGGGTTTTGTACAGATGTCTCACAAACCAAAGTGGTTCCCCATATCTCTCTGTCTCTTAGCAGTTTTTCTCCAGCCACAAAACTTAGTGAATCTGTGTCATTAAGAATGCACAACTACCCCTGTGGTTTTCTTCCCTTAGAGGAAAAGTTAGAGGCTGAGGAGATGGCAGGATCAAGGAGGTAGTATCCTGGCTGAGAGATTGATTAATTACAGGGACATTGGGCAAATAAGTAAAATATTAAATATAATGGGAGCCAGGTTTCTTAGTGTGGTAGAAGGAATTTACGAATATGGAAGGAAAGAAAGCTATAAATGTTATCGAACTCAGGTTCTGCTGCTGGCCACTAAAAAGCCAATACCCGAGAGACAGGTGTTGGTTGGAAAGGAAAGGTTGCTTTATTCAGGAGGCCAGCAACCTGGGGAGAAGGCAGACTCGTGTCCAAAAACCAATTCCAAAGATTCTGCTTGACTATGAAAAGTTTTAAAGGGAGAATCATTTGGGGAAGGGGTCAGGGTCTTCATTATCTTCCCCTGTGTGCAGACTTTTTTTCTGATTGGTTGGTGGTGAGGTAACAGAGCTGGTGGGCGGAGTTCCAGCGATATTGTGCTCAGCCTGAAGTTGCCATCCTCCACCTGGGTAGGGGCCTTAGTTCCTGCAGAGGAACTCAAAGATATTGTTATATATATTCCTTGAGGAGGAACCAGGACCCTGCCCCGTTGCTGCACTGCTGTTTCTTGACTGCGCCTCCTTTGTTTCTTTCTCCTTCCCTGATAAGCAACTATTTGAACCTGCCCTTTGGAACCCAGGGAAGGTCGAGGAGGCTGAATGAAGCCTATTTACTAAACAAAAAACGGGGGGACACGGAAAGGATTTGTACCCAGGAGGGCCCTACAGGATCCTGTTCAGCTTCATAAAGAACCCTGAGGTGTTGGATTGGATTCAAAATGAGTGTGAAATCATTATATATATATATACACATATACACCATAGCTATTTTCATTCAGAGGCCAGAGCAACAGACACATCAAGTGGCCAGAAGATCTTGGTTTCTAAGTACCATCCTCCATGAAGTGGAACCAGGGCTGATTCTAGTACTTGGGCTGGGAAAGTACAAAGTAAGCTTGGAAACTTTTATAGGAAGTGCTCAAAGCATGAGGGGAACATGCTAAAAGGACACATGAGCCAGCAGGAAGGAGCTCCCACTGGCCAAATCTGGGACAATTTGAGTATCCAAATAAATTGTGATAGTAACTGATTACAACCTATTGGATAAGACAGGAATCCATGAATCCATGCCAATATAAATGAATAGATAAATAATGATGGAATAAATAAATAAATGGAAAGAAAAGGGAGAGCTCTTCCTTATGGAATAATGCCAACTAATAAGATTGATGGAAATAGTAAGTCACCATTTGGCAATGTTGGTTGATTCTTGGCAGGACTCCTCAGTGGATGCCAAGGCTGGTGGGTGGCTGTTTGATGTGAAGCAGGATGTCAGCTTAGTCTTAAAGCATCTTCTGAAAAATACTTATTGATCAAGGGGGAATTTACTGGAAAGAACCTGGAAGACACCAAATTGACCAGGTGATCAAGATGGGCATCATCAGGAAGGGAACGAGTCACACATGTGCCTCCTGATGTGATGTGCTGAGTAGAGCACAGCCTCTTTTCTGTTGTGTCCTGCTCAGAATGCACAGCCTGAGTCTGAACGTGGAGAAACATTGGATGGACCCAGGGTGAGAAGCATCTTAAAAAATGACAGGCTCATATTCTTTAAAACTTTTCAGCTCACGAGAGACAGAGAAGGATAGAAAAACCAAGTGATCCAAATTGAAGGAGACTTAAGAGGCATGACGACTAAATGCAACAAACAAGTCTGGATTGACTCCTGGACCAGTTAGGAAAAACAAACAGTTGGCAAAATTGAATGAGGTCTGTGGATTGGATGGTAGTGTCCTATAAACGCTGATTACCTGATTCAAATGTTTATATTGTAGCTATGTAGAAGAATGTCCTTATGTGGGGAATATGTACGCTGAATTATTTAGTAGGATGAAGCATTCTGTCTGCATCTTGCTCTTAAATGGTTCAGAAAAGAATAATGGTAATCTCTAAGATCTTGATTTCCGCTAGCCACTATTTCAGAGGAGCTGAAGTCCAATTCATGATAAACTAAAAAGTCCATTTGGGGCGTGGGTCTTAATTTGTTTCCAGCCTTGTGTCGGTGATTCTCCTCCAGCACAATGCTCCTTCGTTCCAGTAGTGCTACTTGAACCACTGAGCTGGGTATCCAGTAGGGACTGAAACAGATAAATTTCATAGAATCTACATTTTGGAGCGGGAGAAACAGACAAATTTTCAGTTGTAGATTATGCCAGCCAATAACAGTTCTATGAAGAAAAAGGCAGCAGAGTGGGATCAACTGCTCGGATGAGGTGAATTGTGAACAGAATCCTGAAGGACGTGAGGGATCCATGTATGTATTGGGGGACGGGTTGTATTAGGAAGAGAGCACCATACACACAATGGCCCCGAAGGGAGATTGTATTTGATGTGCTTGGAGAATGGCAGAGAGACTACTGAGAATGGAGAAGTGTGAGAAAGAAAGAGTGAAGGAGGTGAGATCAGAGAGATGAGAGGCCTATCGACTCTTTGGATTTTATTCTGAGTGACAGGAAAAACCTTTGGAGAGTTTGAAGCCAGGTAGTGACATAGTCTGACATGCAGACTATGCATGTTTAAAAGTTTATTCTGACTGTATTGGAGCCAGTATGGAAGCAAGAAGAACAAGTAGGAGCTATAGCCATAATTCAGAAACAGAGGATGGTGACTTATGCCAAGAAGGTGGCGATGAACACAGGGAGAAGTGATTGGAGCCTTGATGTATTTTGAAGATGGAGCAGACAGTATTCTCTGGTGCATTTGAAATGGGGTGTGAAAGAAAGAGAGGATACCAGAAGAACTCTACCATTTGGAGCCTAAGCAACTGGCAGAATGGAGGGGTCGTTTT